TCAGGCACTGGAACGGGCTGCCCAGGGAAGCGGCTGAGTCTCCATCCCTGGAGGTATTTAAAAGAAGGGTAGACGTGGTGCTTGAGGACATGGTTTAGTGGTGGACTTGGCAGTGCTAGGTTAACGGTTGGACTTGATGATCTTAAGGGTCTTTTCCAACCTTAAGGATTCTATGATTCCATGATTCTAAGGGGACAGGTACTAATAATGTGAATGTCATGCTCAGCAAATCTGAGATTGTTCCAAGGCTCTTGAAGGTTGTCTTGTTACTTTACAAACTTCTCACTTCCAATGCTTCTTTGTCTCCCTTTGTCCTGTCTCTTTGGCAGCAAGGCAGCTACCTCTGATGCCACTGCACTGTGGTGCAATAGAGGGAGAGCAAGAGGAGAGAGAGCACAGGAGCAAGAGATGTCTTCAGGGGGGACAAGGAAAGGGGAGAGATAGGACCCTGATACTCCTGCTGGCTAGTACAAATTCACTCAGACATTGCTTCTGTTCTTTAGAGAGGCCAATGATACATTTTCAGGATTAACAACTCTTTCAACTCTCAAAGATGTTTTAAACTATACATTGGATGGATACCTGTGTGTCATGGCCTTTGCTGGGTTTCCATCACCGTATGTCTGACCGCAAAAATCTAAAGAAACAAGTTCAAATGTAGGTTACCATTTTGTTTTCGTTATGGTTTACATATTTATTCTCAAATTAACTGATCTGGGTTATTGTTTCATTCAGAATATATACATTTCTTTTTTAATAGGTGAAATAATGTCTCAAAATGTTGGGCTACGTTAAACAAAATCTAGAAAAGTGGCCAAAGGAAAAATAAAATTTAAAAAGAACACAAAGTTTTGTCTCTAAGTCAATATTAGTAAATGCAAAAAAAAAGGATTTTCCCATTTCCATTTTCTGTAGAGCAGATAAAGCTAAGCCATTCTAATTCCAAAGAACAGCTACTGATAGAAAAATGCAATGCATTGCAGTATAATGCATTCTACCTGCCAGAAAACTCCGCTTGCAGCTGGAAAGAGCGTAGCCTTCATGATGGTTAGCGACACTGATTTTTTTTGTAATAGATACTGTCATCACTGGAATCTTGGCTTTGAGTAACAAAATACATGTTAATAACATTATGGTTCTTTTGGACACACTGACGCTGTTTGGTATCTTTAACAGTGATACTTAATGATGTAAATTTCTGTTTTACAAAGACATGGAGTAAATATTTTCACTACTTTCACTGTGTCATTATAAGATTATTTCTCATTTAGTTTGACATTTTGTATAATCCAAATTGTCACAAATTACGGACAAATCTTTGGTTTAATATTCCCTTCACCTTTATGTGGATTGTTTTTCTTAACATCTTGGATTCAAACACAATAGCATCCCAGTGTAAGAATTATCACCCTCAGTGACATTGTCTTTAAGAAACTTTCATCATCTCCTGATTTTGAAAAGCTGGTGCTTGAGAAAATACCTTTGTTATAGAAAATAAACATTTAAGAATGCGAAAGTCCTTAGTAGTAATGCTATTACTGTTACATTAAAAATCTTACACGTGCCAAGCAGTTGATGGCTCCTGACAAGTCATTAAGAACGCAGGAATTACAGCAATGTGTTGAACCCCCTCCTGGTCAGCAGGCAGAGATGGAATTATCCACCTACTAATGTGGACCGCATTATCCCAAAAATATAAAGTATGGCAGAACCCATGAAGCATGAGTTTAATATCCTCTATACAAGAAACATAGTGATCACATATTACAGTTCAGATATTCTTGCTATGCACACACTTTCTCAGGTTTTTTTCTGAATCTCCACAAACTCTTGATCAGAACAAAAACTTGTGACAAAAAGTTCCACATTTAAATCAAATACTGTGCCCAAAAAGTTCTTTACTCAGTTTTCAGTGTTCCACTATTTTCATCTAATACGCAGACCCATTCTCTCCTGCTATAAGGCAGACGGAAATTCCCAGACTGCCATCTCTGGAGCCTTTCATTATTTTACATGCTTTCATCATACCCTTCACATTTGTTAAAAGGAAGATATGAATAAGGAAAATGCACCCAGACTACATGAATCATGACACTCTGCCTGTTTAATTGATTAACCTTGAGTGGGCTTGTTATGAGTTTTTAAGTGGAGAAGAAATCTGAACTTGCATTACACAAGGGCTTGCATGGAGAACTACATTTAGACTACTAATTCAAGCCCCCTCCTTTTTAGTATCAGGCTTCCAAATCTGAAGCTATAGTTAACTGACAGGTATTTTTAGAAAACAGAGAAAATCTGTCATAGGAATCATTATGTTTACAATGAACCGGGAGGGGAGTTTGGTTGGGTGGGTTTGGGGAGGTGGTTTTGACAATGCTCAGCGTGAGCCTTCTCTCAGCTTGACTCCTTTTAGGCTTTTTAGTTCTAAATCAGTCAATCCACTCCTGTGCTCTTCACCATAAACCCCACAGCCTTAGTTCACTCTGAACTCACTAACTTTTACAACGCCTTACTTTCAGGGCTTGGAGATTTCAGAATATTCTGACTCCATGAGCGTATCTGAGTGTACCTCAAATCATAATAATATCCTCACCATACTTCTGCACTGGAGGGGAGTCCCATTTGCAGAGGTGGGGAATTAACAGTAGGGCTGTGCTGCAATCACTACAATGACAGCACTGTGTGCCTGCTTGCCAAGGATTGTTTTTAACTAGTTCCCTCATGTACCGACAGCAAGGTAAATGTAGGTGTGGCATGCAGAACTTGGCACAGGCTGGAAAATTCACCCAGGAAGCAGAGAAAACAGACAGCCACACAAGTCGCCCTTGCAGTAGCTAATTAAAAGTTAGTTAAGGTATATAAGTCCATTGCCTATAAAGGAAGCTGAGCGTATCTAGCTCACACACAGACTTCCACATTGAGTCAGGTGAATCCCACCTCAGTTTCCCAATGAAAACACACTTCACCTGAGATGGTCTCTTCTATACAGTCAAGACCTAATTCTTCTTTTGTTATCATTCATACTTACCACAGTGGATATCACATATCTGCAGTGGAACTGAATAATCTACATCTGTCCTCCAGCCCTTTTAAAAGAAAGAATTGAGGCTTATTCCCCTTTCCGCAGAACTGTTACTAAACACTTGTGTTGACAAAATGAGATTGCTTTATTAGTTTACTCAAGTGACTGCATTTTTTAATCTGTTTTTAAATAAATGCATATGGAGACCACTGGTCTAGTGTATATTTAGTGAGTTGCAATCACTTTCAGGTTTCCAAATGATAAAGCTAATCAGATTATTTTGGGGGTGGGGGGAGAACTGTATTCTGACATATAATGTCTTATTTACATAATAAATGATCTATGTAGGAAAACATCAATTTTACCACCAAATCTTCAACTCTCATTACCTGGAAGGCTCTTGCCAGTCTCACTTTCATCTTGCTCCTTTCTTCCTAGAGGCAGAAAGTGAAGCTGACAAGGACCTTCCAGGGCAGCTGCTGGAGCCTCGCAGCTCCGGCTGTCAATCTCTCTTGTCCTGGTGTCTGCTGAGAACATTAACGCCAGAGAGGAATCAACCTATCAGCTTCATGGTCATTTTCTATTAATGTTGTCTTAATAAAGTTCAGCCACAGAAATAGTGTGCAAAAACAGCATTTACTGTACTGTTTGCTATATGCCTAACCTCTTCCAGCTAATATCAATTTTTGAAATATTCATCTATGATTTACTTGGATGTTTGATATCTTGGAACTTTTTATTACAAAGGAACATACAAAGACAGGATTAGCAATTTCCTGATTGATATCCCTTTATCTGCCACTGACAAAGGAGCAAGACCATGGAGAGCAACTTCTCTGTTACTTAATGTCATCTCAGCAAGAGGTGGTGGCAGCACATCAAGCTATAAGTAATGCTCTTTGCCAACTCCATTCGCACAGTAATCAGATTTGGCTGTGAGGAGAAAGCAGTGAGAGTGTCTGCTGGTTTTCTTTTTTGGGGGTGGGGGGTTTGATGATTTGTTTATTTTGTACAGAGTACCTGCCAAAATCAAGACACATACCTGAATGCAAATTGTTGACCCACACATTTCCCGTGACATAGGGATTGATACAGAATCTCCCTAATGAAAAGAAAAAAATTGAGAACTATTATTTTCCATACTGTGGAACAATGAAAATGTATTGTGCCTCTCCAGCTCTTTGGTTTGTTTGCCAATAATGCTACATGTTCTACTGTGTCAGAAAATTAGTAAAGTATATATTCATTATGGAAGGTTATTTATTTTCAGAGATATCCCCGGATCTCAATGACCATAAGCAGCTGATGTAGTTTTGCCAAGCACAGTTTGGGCAGCACAGGAAGAGGGCTAATGTTCCTGCATTTTAGGAAGCATCATAAGGCATGACACCCTCCCTGCCATGGCTCCTCACACTGTGGCAGCAAATGAGCATCTTCACTTCTTTTCCCTGGTACACGAGTTGAAGGAATGACCCTTTCTTTACAGTTCTTCTGGATTTCCCATCACATTGTATGCTGAGAACAAGTTCAGCCTTAGGGTAAAATTGTCCTAAATGACTGTTCTGACATTTAACATTTGCTTGTTTATGGTTTGTCGTCAAAATAAAGTTAGTTACTCAACTAATAGCTATGAATTCCACACTGCTCTCTTTAGTGTGGCAAACTCCTAAAATAATTTGGGGCAAATTAGGTGAACATGTTCTTTCTTGAGCATGATTGAACAGAGATTACTAGGTAGAGAATGAACATTGGGTTTTGGGAACACAGAGCTAAGTCTTGATGAAAACTTTGTGTATATTGCTAATGGTGTTGAGACAGCAACTGTATGTAATTTATGTGGGCTCCCATTCTGTCATAGTAGCATAGAACATAACAGCTTTGTACCGGAGGGAAGAAAACAGCTTTTTTAAATGCATCAGTGCCCTTCATTAAACACACACTTCAATACCTAGCTGTGATTTATTGGTGGTCCACCTTTACCCTTCTCACTTAGCAATTCATACAGGGAACCTTTAAAACCAGAAAGTCTAAACTCCACAGATTTCATGTGAAATAAGTCGGTTGAAGGGAAGTGCCACTGTAAGTGTTCACTGAACATAGTGTTTGACAACTCTTCTACCAGATCTCCATCTCTGCCGGTAATACAGCATTTCCCCAGATACCTTGCCCCATTAGGACAGACTTTTGATAGCACCACCAATGCCCTCTGTGGTCTGTGTTGATTAGGATATCTGTTTTTTCCCAGGCCTTTCCCCATCTTTATTCAGCTCTGGGATCTCCTGCAGGAGCAGTTATCATGTTCCACTTAAGCATGTCCTCAGCTTGAGCAGCAAAGCTGAGTTGGAAAACTCTGCTTTTAACAGCTGCTCTGTTACATTGAGCACCAGAGATGTAGTAAAGACCTAAACTGATTCATTAGAAAATAAATTCAGCTTTCAGTGTTCACCCCTCTGAGTTTAAGAAGTCTTTATTCATAGCTGCCTGCTTGTCAGCTACCCGCTGGTTTGGGCACCCTGCACAATGAAAGCATCAGGGGTACTTGAAAAAGTCACAGTTGCAGCATATACCTGCATACAGTGGCAAAGAAAGAACTACAGCTGGAATATATCCTAAAAAGAGGACAGGTGTAAGAGCTACAGCATGCTTATGTCTTCTAAAGCCCATCCCCCTACAGCAGAGTGAAGTCAATGGGCACAATTAGGAATAACAGTAGAAATCACAACATCCGGATTTCTCAGCTTTCTCAAAATCCACCATATGACATCTCATATACCTGGTCAGTGGAGCAGACAGCAGGAGCGCACATTTAGGGGAGGAAGTAAGACTACTGCTGGCTGCT